ACCTCCGCCTTCCGGTTTCAAGTGATTTTTCTACTTTAGTCTTTCGAATAACTAAGATTTCAGGTGCCTGCCACGACACCTTGCTAATTTTTGTATTTTTAATAGAGACGGGCTTTCACCATGTTGGCCAGGCTGGTCTTGAACCCTTGACCTTGTCATCCATCTTTCTCAACCTCCCTAAGTGCTGGGATTACAGACGTGAGCGACTGCACCCAGCCTTAAAATTAGATCTCAACTGACTCTTGTAGAAAGGCAAAATGTATCTCGGCTTTTTAAAATGTTTTAATAAATCTATTTATTGAAAGTATGTCTCAATTTAAAAGTTAATCTTCTATATATTTAATTTTCTGAAAGAAACTTTGTTATTTTATTAAGCATTTTACTTGATTTTTACGTCTGTGTCTCTCATTTATTCTTCTTCCATTGTTGTCTTTTTGAAGATTGTATTTATATGCTTTCATTGTTTTCTTTTCTCTTTTTTTTTTTTTCTTTTTGAGGTGAAGTTTCACTCTTGTTGTCCAAGTTGGAGCGCAATGGCATGATCTCAGCTCACCACAACCTCCGCCTCCCGGATTCAAGTGATTCTTTTGCCTCAGCCTCCTGAGTAGCTAGTATGACAGGCATGTGCCACCACTTCTGGCTAATTTTGTATTTTTAGTAGAGACAGCATTTCTCCATGTTGATCAGGCTGGTCTTGAACTCCTGACCTCGGGTGATCCACTCACCTCGGCCTCCCAAAGTGCTATAATTACACGTGTGAGACACTGCACCCAGCCTCTTTTGTGTATTTATAGAAATATTTTTGTGGTACCTTGGGCATTACATATAATCTCTAAAAGATACAACAATTTATTTTAATCTGGCAAAAAATAAATAAATAAATAAACTTAAGTTGCATACAAATTTTTTTTTTTTTTTGAGATGGAGTCTCACTCTCTCACCCAGGCTGGAGTACAGTGGTGTATCTCAGCTTACTACAGTCTTTGCCTCCAAGGTTGAAGTGATTCTTCTGCCTGAGCCTCCTGAGTAGCTGGGAATACAGGCATGTGCCACTATGCCTAGCTGATTTTTCCTTTTTTAGTATAGACGGGGTTTCACCATGTTGGCCAAGGTGGTCTCAATCTCTTGACCTCATGATCCACCCGCCTCGACCTCCCAAAGTGCTGGGATTACAGGCATGAGCAATTACACCCAGCCTGTTTTGTGTATTTATACAGATATTTTTGTGGTACATTGGTGATTACATATAACCTGTAAAAAATACAATAATATATTTTAATCTGGCAAAAAAAAAAAACTTAAGCTGTATACAAAAATTCTTTTTTATTACATCATCTCTAAAACTTGTCATTTATGTTGCTATTTATATCTTTTATATTGT